AATAAGACAGTTGGTTTAATTACCATTGGAAAATGCTTGTCATTCTTCTGTAGGATCTGGTCCCCTCTGGACCCTCATTATTTCCTTCACCTGCTCCCCCCACTGACCAAACTGTGCAGCTCTGCAACTGCATCCTGGCCCATCCTCACCTTTCTGCCCCCAACCCTCACCTCCTTGTACCCCCAATATGTTTTTCCCAATAAAAAAAACCACATTACATAACATGAGGGACCCTGGAGGCCTTCATACTGAGTGGAATATCTTAGTCACAAAAGGAAAAATACTGAATTACACTACTGTTAAAATCCAGGTCTGACAAGGGGAGATTGGAAGAATAGGATAAGAGTGAATATATAATGACCATTTGAAGAGATGAAGGAAATAACTTTTTAAAAGAAATATATGATTAGGCATTATATATATGACAACATCCCAGAATAAAAAATACATCATTGCAAAGAGAACTTGGGGTGGGGAGGAGGCAGGTGATTGTGCAACAATAAATTAATATTAAAAAAATGAACTGGGGGAGGGGAACTAAAGGGAGAGGGGATAAAATGTGCAACAATAAATGGATGGGAAAACTAACTTCTCTGTAAACATTAGTAAACGTCACAATTAAAATTTTATTTTTTAAAAAAACCATCATGGACTTTGTTGTTGTGTCGTTATGTGCCAGCGAGATACCTGCAACCCTATGTACAGCAGCTCTGAACCCTTCCCTGTCCTGAGCAGTCTCACTAATTCTGACACACCAATCCCCATTGCCCCAGTTACTGTATCAATCCATCTCATCCGGGGTCTACCCCTCCTGAACTGTCCCTCCACCCTCTTAAGTATGATGTCCTTCTCCAAGAATTATCTCTCCCGGTCACATGCCCAAAGTATGTGAGACAGAGCTTCAAAATCCTAGCTTCCAAGGAGAAACCTGGTGTTACCTCTCCAAGACAGACCTATTTATTTTTTTGGCAGTCCATGGTACGTTCAAGACTCTTCTCCAGCAGCACAACTCAAAGGCATCAATTCCTCTTTTGTCATCCTTAGTAATTATCCAGCTCTCTGATGCATAACAATAATTGTGAAGGTCATGGCGTGGATTAGGCACACCTTAGTCTCTAGACCATCATAGTTGCTTTTCAGCACTCTGGAGAGGTCCCTGGGCCTATTTTCCCAGTGCAATTCATCTTTTGATTTCCTGACTGCTAATGTTAATAGTGTTGATTGTAGAGCCAAGTAAGCTATAATTGTTAACAACTTCAATTTATTCTCCATCTATCATTGTGCTGTCAGTTGGCCTAGTGATAAGAATCTTTGTCTTCTTGATGTTGAGCTTCAATCCATTTTGAAGAACACAGTCCTTCTGCAGCAAACACTTCAGGTCTTCTTCAGTTTCAGTAAGCAAGGTTGTGTCATCTGCATAGCGTAGGTTGTTAATGGTTCTTCCTCCAATCTTGATGCCACATTCCTCCCCATAAAGCCCTGCTTCCTGAAAGATCTGTTCTGCATACAGATTGAACAGGCATGGAGACAAGATGCATCGCTGACACATTTCTTCCCTGATTTGGAATCGTGCAGTGTTTCCCTGCTCTGTTCTGAGGTCTGCTTCCTGGTCCAAATATAGTTTCACATAAGAGTGACCAAGTGTTCTGGGATTCCCATTTTCCCCAATGTTAGCCACAGTTTGTTATGATGCACACAGTCAAATGCCTTTGCATAGTCAATGAAATTGATAGATATTCTTCTGGTACTCTTTGCCAAGACCCATCTGACATTGGCAATAATATCTCTAGTGCCACAAGCTCTTCTAAACCTAGCTTGTATTTCTGGTACTTCTCTGTCCAGTGTTTCTGGATAATCTTCAGAAATATTTTACTAGTGTGTGATATTAGTGATATTAATCAATAATTTCCACACTGTCAGGTTACCTGTTTTGAGGAATGGGAATAAATATGGATCTCTTCCAGTCAGTTGGCCAAGTAGTTGTCCTCCAGGTTTCTTGACACAACTTGGTGAGCACATCCAGGGCAGCATCTGTTTGTTGAAATATGTCAATTAGTATGCTATCAATGCCTGGGGCTTTATTATTTTTGCCAAGTCCTTCAGAGCAGCCTGAACTTCCTGTTTCATCACCATTGCCTCTTGATCATATGTTATTTCTTCAAATTCTTACGTGTCAGTCACTTCTTTTCAGCACAATGACTCCATATACTCCTTCTATTTTCTTTTAATGCTTCCTCAGTCATTCAATTGTCTGCTCCCATAGCATCCTTAAGTGTTGCAACTCATGGCTTGAATTTGTTCTTCAGTTCCTTCAGCTTAAGAAATGCTGAGTAAGTTTGGCCCTTTTTGATTTTCTGACTCCAGCTCCTTGCACATTTCATGATAATACTTTGTCTTGTCTCATCACGGACCTTAGGCACAGAATAGCACCTGATGAATAAGTCAGCCCTGGTTAAACTCCGTGGGCTCGAATTTTAATCTGTGCCTTGTAGGTACGTGCCTCCCTTTCCTCCTCTGTAAAATGAAGATGACCCTTCCAGGAGGCTGTTTCAGAGTTCATTGAGATAGTCCTTGAGAACCTTGAGATAGTTCATTGAAAAAGGGCTTGGCACAGTTTCACTTGAGCTTCCCATTCTCCCAAGAAGGAAGCATAGCCCCATAAATATAGACAGGAAACCTGAAGTTCACAGTAAGAGAAAGAACCTGCCCACAGCTATGTAATAAGTGGTAGAACCAGGGCTCCAAGGCCACAAATCAGGCAGCAGCCAGGCCCTGAACGCTGACAGAAGTGGATGGTCGAGTTATCCCAGTCACAGACCAGAAACCAGGAGAGCTGGAGGAGGGAGCCACAGGGCTAGGTCTGGAGGGGCTGCCTGTTTGGGGTGCTCACCTCCAGTTCTGACTGAGTGCAGTCAATGGAGGGGACATCAGTCACCAAACGAGGTCACTGCTACAAGACTGAGCATCTCTGGCCACACAGGGCCAGGAGCTTTGGGGAGAGAGGGACCTCTAGCTCCTGGGTGTTGACCACCTTCCCACTCGCCTCCAGTTCTTCTGAGAGCTGGCCTTGAAGTTCAGACCATTCCAGGGTTCATTAGCCTGAAGGATGACATCAAAAGGACCAAAACTCCCAGTGGCCTGAGAGGAGCCTGTTTCTACAGCAGCCGCACTGCCCTGCATTGCCTGGTGAGCTGGGGAAATGGAAGGAGAGTCTGGGAGCTTTTCCACCTCTTGCCAAAGAAGCAGGAGCCAGCCCGGGAGAGAACAATGAAGACAGAGGTAGAGCTGACTGGCTAACCTCCCAGCTGCAGCCACATGTTCCCAGACTACGGGCCCTCCTGCCCAGGGCCATTGTGTGGTCTAACGACTCAGTCTACCTGTGTTCTCCCTTTGGGTAATATCTTCATGGGGTAGGGGCAGCATGGGAGCCAAAGGTTGAGAAGGGTCTGTTGGTGCTGTAGCTTGTGTGGTGGAAAGAGGACAGACTTGGCACTTTCATGCTGTGGGAACTTAAGACTCTTTGCCTTTCTGGGCCTCAGTTGCTAAATCAGTAAAATGGGACTGAGGGAAAAAGCTAGAAAGAACGCAGAGCGTCTGACACAGCACCTGGCTCACAGAACACTGGGGAAGGAAGGGAAGAGATGGGAAGGGTGATGGAAATGAAGAGAGGCACCGAACTGCTGACTTCCCAGAAAAAGCCCAGGAAGAGCTCCCAGGCCCTGGGCAGGCCCCTCCCCCTGGAGATGTGGCCAAAGTCCTGGAGGAATCATTGCATCACTGGACATTCAGGGGTTAATGACGGGGAGTGGACAGACCCAGGTACTTAACTAATTGGGGAAGTGTCCTGGGATCAGAGGTGCCCAGCTCCTGGACCCTTGCTCACCCCCTTCCCCAGGATGAAGCTGCTTCCTGTCCTGACCTGCCTTTGTCTCCAGGGTAAGTGACCCTTGTGACCTTCAACCTCATCAGACCCATCCTGGGATGCTTCTGGGGTCAGCCTGACGAAGGAGAGGGTACAGTGAGTACCCAGTGCAGGAGTCCATACTCTTCTGCAATCAGAGTCATCTAGGGACCCCATGACCTAAGCTGGCACTGCCAGAGGGCAGAGGGGAGGGAGGGAGAGCAGACAGCCTGGGTGAGCTGGTGGGCATGGATAAGGGCTGGGAGGAGTCATGGACTACTTGGGTCATTTGCATTTCATCTCTCACCCCAACCCCTAGGTTCTATTTTTGGTTCAAATGAGCTGTATCAGGAGAGGAGGAGATGGGGGTCTAGGTGGTTAGAAAGCACATCCAGGTTATCTGATGAGATCTGAGGGACAGAGATAAGGCTAACCCTTTGGGAGCGATCAGGAGGTACATGGAAGGTGACGTTCTGGGCAGTGTGAGGACGCGGGGTGGGATGTGCTGACATGACCAATGTCACTAAGGGGATTGAGCATGATGGGTGGTATTTGGAGGTTGTCTGGGCTAACTGGCCATCTGGAGAGAAACCCAAAAACCAGATTCAAAGGGCATCAGAGGAAACTGGCTGCAGAGGGTGGGGCCCGAGGTGAGGGTTGACACCCACTGGTCCTGAGGTTTTGTTGACCTGGCTCTCCCTCCCACTCGCAGTGGCCCTGGCCTGCGGGAACTTGCTGCAGTTCGGAGTGATGATTGAGAGGATGACAGGGAAGCCAGCCCTGCACTACAATGACTATGGCTGCTACTGTGGCATTGGCGGCTCCAACTGGCCCGTGGACCAGACAGACTGGTGAGGGGGCAGCCTAGCAGGAAGGCCTCCCTGGAGAGGGAGGAGCTGGGGAGCTCTGAGACACCCAGGAAGTGGAGGCTGAGCCTCTGACCTGAAAGCTCCTCAGAGCCTCTGGTTCCCTGGCAGCCCCCCACCCTACCTCTTGCTTGTGACCCTCACAGGTGCTGCCATGCCCATGACTGCTGCTATGAGCGCCTGCAGAAGCTGGGCTGTGAACCCAAGCTGGAAAAGTATCTGTTCTCTGTCAACGGACACAGTATCTTCTGTGGTAGGTGAACAGCCCTGGAGTGGCCATTGTCCCACAAGTACACCCCTCAGACAACTAGGGGATAACTCAGACAGAACTCTCTCCTAAGGGTCACCTTGGCCTCGCCAGGGTCAGCTCCTGGGCTTGTGGGTGGGTTTTCCCATCACTGTCGTGTGATTGTGGGGAGGCCTGTACACCTGGCCAGAAATGCACCTGGCCTTCAGCCCAGAAAGCCCCGCAGCCCCCATGCTTTCTCTCACCCAGCTCCAGCCTCTACAGAGAGAAGCAGAGCGGGCTTAGCTGGGCAAAGCAGGGCAGCCGGGTCACAGACTCCTCCCCAGGCCAAGCAGGGCTGCCAGGAATATCCCAGGACAGAGCAGCCCGGGTCCAGACAGAGAGAGCTGCAGCTTTGAGGTGGGACAGGAAACCCCATTCCAAATGCTGGCTCCCGTGGGCTGGAGCACTTTGTTCAGGCTTTGCCAGATCCCATGACCCTCAGATCCATTCACCTGCAGAGGTCCCTGTGGGGAAGTAGACTCAACACCCAGGAGGATGGCTCCCCACAGCGAGAGCTGGGTCTGAGAACCAAGTCTTCTTTTCTGTAACAAAGCCAGGAGCAGCCAACAGGGAAGGCAGGGCCACAAGATGAGGCACATCAGTAGGACAGGGAGGGCCACAGAAAACACAGCTCAGAAGTCTTAACGTCTATCCCTCCTGGGGGAGGGACAGATGGGGCTGCAGAAGGCAGAGTCAGGACCAGAGCCATGGGATACAGGCTGGCCTCAGTTCTTTGCTCCTGGAGCATCTGCCCAGCAAGTCAGCTTTGTTGGGTAGTGAGTGCCCTGTCACCAGGGTTTATGCAATTAGAGGGTGGCCCTGGTAGGGATGGCATTGAGAAGATGAAGGAAGTGAGGGGACACAAGGGTCTCCTCGGGGCTTCCTCTACTAACCACTGTTTGACTTGGACAAATCACATATGCAACTTCTTCCTTGTGTATAAAATGAAGTTAGCCATACCCACTTCCCCAGGTGAGTCTAGCCCCTGGGGAGAACTCCTAAGTGACGTTCACGGTCATGAGTGTTAAACACCATCCAGGCCTGAGTTTACGGAAATCGCAGGCATGGGTCTCACACTGACCAGAAATAGAGGCTGACCTTTGAAGGGGAATGAAGAGCCCCATTCTGAACTATGTGAGGTCCTCAGGCCCACAGCAGTGTGGATAGCCGAGAAGCTTCAGAGGGAGAAGAGGAGGAGCCACTGGGTCTGGAAAGCTGACCCATGCCAGAGCAGAAGCCTGATGCCCAGGCCAGGCCTGAGGTCTCTAAGTTAAAGGTCCAGAAATTACGTCTGCCCATTCTAAATGAGAAAAGGCAGATTGATCCAAAAGACCACAAGCTTTGGTCTGGGCACAGGCTGCTCTGGGACATACTCTCGCCATCTGGTATTTAGTTCTTGTTATTTGGTGGTTGTTTCTTTGCTTGATGGCCATACTCTCCCCATCATCCACACATTGCACAAAAAAACCCTTGGGTTGGGAGCAGTTGAGTGACAGTGGCCTGGATGGCTCTTCTGGGGCAGAACACAAAAGACTCCGAGGGGAAGGAGGGACAGTGAGGACTAACTTCCTGCCTCAGTGGGTATGAGCCCAGCAGGGCCCTGTCCGTCACCAGGCATCCACCAGAATGGGGTTGAGAAGGAGAGCCCAGGATAGCTAGTGGCTGTCACTTCCGTGTCTGAAAGCACTGAACCTCTGGTTCCCAACTCCCTGTGTCCCATGCAGCTGGCAGAACCGCCTGCCAAAGGCAGACCTGTGCGTGCGACAAGAGGGCTGCACTCTGCTTCCGCCACAACCTGGGCACCTACAACCGCAAATATGCCCATTACCCCAACAAGCTGTGCACTGGACCCAGCCCACCCTGCTAAGCCTATACAAGCCTCCTCCTGGGCCCTCTGAGGGTCCCATGGGGCTGCTGCAGACCCAAACCTGGAAAACAAAAGCACTAAAAGGAAAAAAAACAAAACACAACAACAAAACCCACCTTGTTCTTCCCTGTCTGGAAAACATCTTTCCTGGAAACCCACCCATCCCCTGAGGCCCCCCCAGACCATGGCCTGAAGCACTGCCAACCTCCCAGTCACACCTTCTCCTTCGGAAAAGCCACTGGACCCTTCAGCATCCAGAAGTTTCCATGATCCACATGTGGGATCTTAGTTCTCTCTCCTGAACATGTATCCCCATAAATTTAACATTATTGAATTCCCAGATTCTACCATTCTATGATTTAGTCTATAGTTTCATTCATTAAGTCATTTTTTAAGCATCTATTATGATAGGACAAAGGTATGCCTAAATCACATTGTGATATTTTCAGTCACCACATATGCTTGTGAAAGCTGGACAAGGAATAAGGAAAATCAAAGAAGAATTGATGTTTTTCAATTTTGGTGGTGGAGAAGGATAAGGAACATATCATAGCCTTCCAGAGGAATAAGTCTGTCTTGAGAAAGTACAGGGGAAATGCTTCTTAGAAGCCAAGATGGTGGGACTAAGTCTCACACGCTTTGGTCATGTTCTCAAGAAGGATAAGGAGCTGGAGATAGATATCAAGCTTGGTCAAGGTCAGGAGAAAAAGAGAGACCCTCAAGGAGATGAGGACCGATACAGCGGCTGCACAACAAATGCAAGTATAGATTATCTGTGAGGATGGAAGACGACCAGGCAGTGTTTCACACCATCAGACAGAAGGTTCCCGTGAGTCAGAACAGCTCCCAACCAAAAGGATGCACCAGCAATGTCTAAGCACCAGGCTACAGCGGGAACAAAGCAGACATGAAGGACCCTTGCCCTGCAGTCCCAACACTCTGTCCTTCTAATGGACCCTCATTAAGTTTGCAGAATGCTTTCTTAACGTTCTACGATTGCATCCAAGACAAATAATGGCAGTCTCTAGCACTACTTCTGGTCAGGTGGCATATATGAGAAGTATAAAAATACCACCAAACTAAAATTATGTTTTCTACTGTATCATCTGGCCTTAACTCCCCGTCATTCTTGAGTTGAAGAGTGAAGAAAGACTCTGGAATTATCATACTCAAACCTCCCCTTGGACGAACAAACACACAGCCCATAGAGAAGACATTCTTGCCTGAGCAGGTACCTGACTCCAGTCATCCTCATCTGTGGGCACTCTGAATGGCTGTGTTAACCACACTCAACCACCATCTCGGTAAATGTGCCATCAACAGGGCAGGTCAGCTGTAGCAACCTCTAGTCAGGTCAGAATGAGTGAAGGGTGGGACTCAAATATCACCAGGCCCAAACCCATCACCTGACTCTAGTGCCACAAAGGATTTACTGAAGGATCCCACCAGATAGAATACAGTCCACCCTGGAAGCAAACACGTTTCAGCAGATCTTATGTCTAAATAGAATCTACTAGCTCTGGTGCCCTAGTGGGTAAGGAATTGCACTATCAATCCAGAGGCAAATAGTTCAAATCCACTAGATGCTCCTTGGAAGACAGACGGACCATCTCCTCATGTACAATTTCCAACCTCTGAAACCCCACTGAAGGATCAACTGTGAGTCGGTTCCAACTCCTGGGCACATGGCAATTTTCCCTGCAGAATCAGAGACGATCCTGCTGAGACTCCCTCACGAGATGAGTGAAGCGTGTGAAAATGCATTACACAGGACAAAGCTCACAGTGGGCATCGACTAATGTCCACTCCCTTCATTCTTTCCATGTCTGTGCAACATTTATGGCTTGGAGGGATCAAGGAACAGGGAAAAAAATCAAAGGGCTGAGTCATCATAAACTTTAGGTGACGTTCTGTGCTCAAAATAAAAAGAAAGGGGCAGGTATGTGAGCTTTGCTGTTGTAACTGACTCAGATCCTTGTTAAAGGATCAAGAGGCATGACCACAGAAAACCAGATAAAAGGGTTGGGGGTGCAGAGAGCGCCTTTCATTTGTTGGATAAAGTGGTCCTGTGGCGCCCTCTGCTGTCCATCTTAATCAGAGTACCGCCAATAGACTAAAGCAATGCGTTAGTGCTAAAAAGCTCCACAGTTCAAACCCACCCCATTGCTCCATAGACCCCTCTGGCATCCTAGTGGTAAAGAGCTGCCCTGCCAAACCAAAGGCACACAGTTCTAATCTGCAAGGTGCTCCACGGACCAAACCAAAGGCACACAGTTCTAATCTGCAAGGTGCTCCACGGAAAAAAGAGGGGGCAACCCCTCCACCCCCCGCAATTTACTGCCTCGGAAAACCCACAGGAGAATCAGCATAGTGCTCCATGGGACAACGATGGGCAGCCACCTTCTGTAAAGAGTTACAGCCTCGGAATCCCATGCAGGGTCACTATGAGTCAGCACCGACTTGATGACGATGGTTTACCAGCAGATCGGTTGCCTTGGGGTCCATTGCTACTCATGGCAGATCCCCAAATGTGTCTGCATGGAGTGTTTCAGAAGCGCATCACCAGGCCTTCCTTCTGAGGCATCTCTGGATGCTCCATAACTCTCCAGCCGTCTGGTTAGAAGCTGAGTACTTCAACAACCTGTACCGCTCAAAACCTAAATAAACTGAAACCTAGACTTCTCTCTCACAGTTAGGAAAGTTATGATGGGCCAGCAAAATAATCCTCTCTCAGTTTTTTAGTAAATAATAAATGTCTATAAATTGTCCAATGATGGTGCTGCTACAGAACTAGGAAACACAGACAGAAGAAGTTGTCCTAGATGAGCTGCAGAAGATGATGTTTTGGGGGTGGTGAACTCATAGTACCAGTGGGACAAGTGATCTTGAAGTTGCACAGCCATCTGACCAAGTGAGAACTGGAACATAAGAGCAAGACCACCCCCAGGCCCACCGTGATGCACATTCACCAGGCTGCAAGTCTCCTGATTGCGGACCAGGCCTTACTCTTTGTTCTCCCTGTGCTCAATAAATGTTTGATGAATGAATAGACAGGTCTGTCTAAATTCCATCACATGTGTGTGCATGCGCATCTTTGTACATCTGGAGTACAAAAATTTGACTTCAAGTTGCAGGCTTAAGTAGATAAGAAAATACATAAAATCATAGATCCTTGATCTTGGAGTCAGAGGTTCCGGGTCTGTACCTTCGTCCTGCCATTGGGCAGCAGTGGGACTAAGGCTCCAGCCCCAAACTCATGGTGTGGCTCATGGAGAGCAGCATGGAGCTTGTTAAAAAGCAAAACCTTGAACCCCTGCCCAGACTTTGGGAATCGGAATCTTTATGTTAACAAGTGATCCAGGTGTTCCTCTAACACTTACATGGCAACAACCTTACCCTCTACATTTGTAAAATACAACTATATAATTATGTTTGGTCCAGCAAGGCTTACATAAGTTAGTATATAATTTATTTAACACAAATGCAGCCCTCCACATAATATCCACATCCAGTGAAAGGTTGACAGTTGTCAGGTCAGTTCTCACTCACGGTGCTACCAGTACCAATTGTCATCAATTCTGATTCATGGTGACCCCATGAGCTGCACAAGGTTTGCAATGACTGATTTCTCTGAAGTAGGTCACCAGGCATCTTCCCGGGCACTTTGTTCCAATGTCCTTTTGGGTGGATTTGAGCCATCAACCTTTTAGTTAATATCTTTCTTGTTTGTACCCCCAGAGACTTTAATGATAATAAACAGTTAACATTTTTTATTATTAGGAAGCTGTGGTCGCCTAATGGTAAGGAGGCATGTGGTTCAAATCCACCAACTGCCTCTTCCCATGAAATTTAGTCTCTGAAAACCTGCTGGAGGATCAGCTAGGGATTGGTCCCAAGGCAATGACAATGAGAGAGTGAGGTGTAAGTCCAGATGTGTTATTAACTTATAGAATGAATGGGTGAATGAATGAATGAGACAAAGAGACTACATCATGACTGATGAGTAGGAGACTTTGTTGCCTTAGTATTTCATACTTGACTCTCCAATTCTGATGACAGGCCACTGGGTATTCAGGTTTTGTTCCCACTTAGCATTTGGGTTTAAATCCACTCAAAAGCCTTGGCCTAAGACCCTGCAGGGCCCGTGGGCCTGTGGCCCTCGAGCCATATTTATGAATTTCAGAATGAATATTCCTTAAATGACACAGCAATCTTTTGTCTATTTGCTGAACTGAACAACTTAATGTTGCTGTGATGTTTCACACTGTTCCATAGTCCTGTCAAATACCATAATGGTTACCCATTATGTACAATGTTTGGATCATCTTCCAGATTGATTTATGCTGGGAAGCAGGAGTGGCATCCACTTCCTAAAACTAGATGCCTCTGGAAACTCCACAAACTCTCTAAACTCTTCAAACTCTCTAAACTCTTTAAAAGATGTACAGAAATGATGGTAGTTCTAGAACAGAATTCTGTACAGAAATGTTAGTCATAGAACAGAGTTTAGATCTTCTGTGCAAAACTTACTCTCAGTTGTGTTTGACTTGACAACACTTAACCACTGCTAAGTGAAACTAGTGCTGTTATATCTGGAGGAACACTCTTTCACTTTGTACACCACTCTTTGTCAATGTGCAGTATGAAATAACCTGTGTTGCTGTGAGACTGAACCTTGTGCCACTGGGGTATGAGAATGGCTTCCCAATGTGGACAGTGTTTGGTGGAGCTCCCAGATGTGGAACAGGTTTGGAAGCAGGAGGGGCATCCACTTTCTAAAACACAAGCCTCTGGAACTCTATGAACTTGATGAAATGACGACAGCTATGGAAAGGCATTAGGCCTTTTGTTCATAGTCACTATGAGTCGTGCTCAACTTGACAGCAATCAGCAACAACATGCACAAAGTGTTCAATTGCCACTTGTTGAATAAGTAGACAATTAGAAGTCACATCAGAATTCCTGAATTGCTGGAGTCTGGTTTTCATTTCACAGACATT